GTAGTATTTTTAGCAATGACATTTCTTATAAAGGTTGCTTTTTTCCAGAGAAATGACCAGCATCTGAGTCAACCAGATGTGGGTTTGAATTCTGACTCTCCCATTTACTCATTGAGTGGGCTTTGCCTAATCTTCTGTAGGTACAGTTCCCTTGTCCATAAAATGTTGATTCAATATTCCAAGTTTCATAGAACTATTAGAGGATTAAATGACAAATTACATAGAAGGCGCTTTGTGCAGGCCAGCCACATGGAAAAGAATCCAGTCTTGTTAATCATCTTTGCAGTCAGCTTGGCAGTGAAGAATCTTGTGAGCAGGATGAGATTCATTATGCAACCTTGCTTTGTTTCTTAGTGGTTCATCAACTTTGGAAAGCAAACACACTTTCTTTTAAAACTTTGTTCCATTATTTACTGAATAGACTTTTTCTTTTGTTTGATAGGGGTTCTTTTGTTTGTTTTTTTCTTTTGAAACAGGGTTTCACCATATAGTTCAGGCTGGCCTCCAAACTCATGGTGATCCTTCTGTCTCAGCCTCTTAACTGCTGGGATTATGGGTGTGCACCACTGTATCCAATTTAAATAGACTTTTTTGTTTTGTTTTGATTGTTTTGACATAGGGTTTCCCAATGCAGTTCAGGCTAGCCTGGAACTCAAAGCCCAGGCTTTGGATGGACTTTCTAAAAATGTTTTTTTTTTTTGTTTACCTGTGTTTTTTTCTTATCAGAGTATAAATTACTAGAGGAGAGACATGATGTTTTAGTTTGTTTTAAATCCCAGAAACCTAGAATGTGATTGGCACATAAGCAGATGCTTAAAAAATAATTATTGGGTAACTAAACTCTCAGAAACTATTCTTGGTTTTATTATCTAAATCAGAGATTATCACAGTGTGCTTTTTCAGTTAGCAGAACTGGCTTCACTTAGGAGTTTTCAGACACATGTTGAGAAGACATATTCCAATCTACTGTATCAGAGTTTCTGGAGATGGGGCCCAGGCAAGTGTGATTTAACAAATTGTCCAGATGATTCTTATGCCTTTTACAATCTCAGAATCACCATCTAGATGCTACTTTTCTTAAAATGTTAATGCTAAGTGATACATCTAAAAAGCATTATGCCGAGCAAAGGAAGCCATACACAAAAGAGCACATATGCAATTATCCCATTTACATGAAGTTCTAAAATAGGCAGAATTCATACACCAAAATAGGCAAAACAGAATATAGTAGTGTTGCTTGTCAGCTTGAGGGGTTAGAGAGAGGAGGAGAGAGCTTGCTTTGAAGAGGTATAGGGGAATTTTCTGGAGTGTTGGAAATTCCATCCACTGCTCCTTGATGAGATGTGGATCATGTAGATGTACACTTAGTCAAAACTCATTGAATTGTATATTTAAGACCCATGCACTTCACTTTGTATAAATGAAACATGTCTTTTTAAAAATAAAAGTTATCAAAAATGTATTGTAGTAAAGATCACAGCCTTTGGAATGGTACTGAGATAGCTCATTTTATTGAAGAAGAGGAAAAAGATGGAGAGGGGAAACAGAGAAAACATTACATAGCAAACCTTTGTTCTACTTTTACCTAGTTAATTCTCCTTTGTTAGAGCACATTAATTTCTGGTTTAGGACTTTAATTTTAAAAAGCAAAACAAATTAAGAAAAACACAGAATACTATTCTTCAGTGTAGCTGCAGAAAAATTTAACTCAAAATTTAACAGTGATTGAGATGAGGCAAAACAACTATAATTTAACCCAAAAGGAATGAACAATCCTCTATGCAAAGTCTAACTGTAAATGGAGGTAGGATGAGAATGTTTTGCTTTTGATATAGAATGGATAATACATCCCCTAAATTATTGACATTAAATATATTTTTTTGTTGTTGTTTTTTGAGAGAGGTTGTCACTAAGTAGTTGAGACTGGCCTTGATCTTGTGGCAATCCTCTTGCCTCAGCCTCCCAACTTCTGAGATTACAGGCATGTGCCAGTAAGCCTGGCTTTATTTTTGGTTTTGCCACTTGAAGAGCTGTATATCTTTAGATAAACTGTTAACTGATCCTAAGTCTAAGTTTTTCTCTGCTATAAAATACACATTACAAGATTTCTCCAGCTGTAGTGGTTTCTGAAATCCTTCAAGACAGAGTTTAGGGCTGAGAAACTTAGGACTTTTTAATAGATAATGATGCTTTCCTATACTAAAATAACATCATAAAAGTATGTTAAGTAGAATACCCGTGATATTTTATATGTCTTAAATAAGTGACCAAGAGTTTCTCCTTGACTAAACTTTAGTCAGGTCTAAGCTCTTTTCTAACTAGGTCTTCTTCTTGTACTCTGTCTTCAGCTTGCCTAATACCATTGTAGGAATAATTCTGTAAAGTCTTCAGAGAGAATCCTCGCCCCGTGATGTCTGATCACCCTGGCATTCCTTCCACAGGAATCCTGTTAAATCAGGTTAGCAACAGTTCTCCACCCCTGATATTTCTTCTTCATAATTTTCCCACCAGTAACCTCCAACTCTTTTCTTTGACTATAAATCCTCACACTATATTTAGTTAAGCCTGATCTCTCTCCCCTATAACAATAGTTTTGGCATTCATCAAAATAATCTTGAAGTTTCCCTCACCATTTTAACAAGTATCAGAATAAAATTTATTTAATATTATTAATAGTGAATATTAACTAATTTCCATTTACCATCCTTGATCCACCAGAAAAAATATCTGATTTGTAATAAAGCGCTTTAAAAAGTTTTGCTTTGTTACAGATAATGTGAATGCTGGATATATGTCCTATATCTAAATCTTCATCACTTTTCTAACTTAATGACTAGAAATTGACTTTCACTTTGCAGCTCCCACTGATCTTCACCCCACATGCAGTGTTTTGATATGAAATCCATTTGTCCACTATTCTTTATTTTTAGAGCTATAGTCCATAAGCATTCTTCCAGTAGAGAGGGGTTTCTACTAATGAAAATGTCATACTAAAATGCATCTTATTTTCTTGGTGGCTGACTCTGTCTCAGGAGTCTCTCTCCCGTTGAGAAGTGTTTAGAATTTTCTGGTACACTGGAAGTGTTTGGAAATAACTTTAATTACTATTAAGACCTTATTTTTTTTTAGCTTCCTTATTTTCTGAGTTTTCATTACAAAGTCTTATTTATTGCTTTATCTTCGTCTTCTCATATTCAATCCAGAGTTCTCTCTTTATCCCTAAAAGAAAAAGTGACTTGGAACCTACATGAAACAAAACTGATATTCTCCCTGTAAATATATGACAGGAATAATTTAAGAATACTAGAATTATTGACAATCTAGTTATTCATTGTAAGTTGTAATGAGATCTAAGAAAATACAAACACTATCAAGTGGGTGCTCAAAAAATGTTAAGTCCCAACCAAGTTTGTAACCTAGCACTCTGAAAGGTTGAGGCAGAAGGATTCCAAGTTAGAATCCAGCCTGGGCCACTTAGTATAATGGGCAAAGGCCCTGGGTTCAATCCTCAGTACGGGGTGGGGGTTGGGCAATCCCCTGCTATCTCCCTTTTACCAGTGATGACACTGAGGACTAGAAGGAATCAGAATTCTGTTCTTTAAAGATAGGTTAGACACACTTGTAATTCCAGCACTCAGGAGGCTGAGAAAGGAGAATCCCTGTGAGTTCCAGCCCAACCTGGGCCACATAGTGAGTTCAAGGCCAGCCTGAACTACATAGAAAGACCTTGTCTCAAACAAATAAACAAACACCACCACCACAACAACAACAACAAAAAAAACCCAAAAAGGGTGGTGATGGTAAGGTTATTGACCATTGCTCCTTTAGATAAGGTTTAATGGTCTACTCAATAAATCTAGAAGGCTCACCAATGTATTTGGGACAGTGAAGAGCCCAGACAGATCTAACTGATACAAATATTTTGGTAAAATAAAACAATTTTGCTTTTTCTAAAATGTTATTGTATCTGTTATTAAGAAAAATTGCCAGTTGCTTGAGTCTCACAATCTAATCTCACAGATGGTCATTGATTTGTAGGGCTTTGCTTTTTCCTCATTGAGCATTTATAATCCTTTAACAGTCAAAAGAGCACTTGGCTTGGAAATCACAAACTTGGGGGAAAAAAAGAGCACTTGGCTATAACTCATTGGAGTATAGAATCTTATAATTTTAAGATTCTATATAAACCTTAACCAATAGTGGCATGAGGAGAGGGCGGATAATCATTTATTGCAATAATTATGTACCAGAAAAATATTGGTCAGGAATTTGGGTAGCATCTAGAGTATAATTTGGCAGTGCTCTGAAATCAATATCGGGCTTCGAAGACCTGGTGGAAAACTACCTGGTTCGGCCACCTGGAATTCAGAACGGGGAGGAGCTTCGAGGAGGCGGCTCCCAACATCTGAGCGCGAGAACATGCGTAGGCGCATGCGCATCTTTTGGCGGGCCTCTTCCATTTGTCAGATGGGGGTAGCCAGCGTGAAGCCGTGGCCAGTGCTTAAATTTCTATTTTCAAACAAGATCAGAGCTATAAACACCTCTGCAAACAACTGGAAAAAAACTACCCTCCAAGTCCAATATTCGGACACGTTACATGCATAGCTAAAGCTAGAGGTGATTTCTTATATTTCTCCCCTCCCTTGGGACACTGGTGGTCTAGTCCATTCCACAGACTTTCGCTCCTTTGCAGCAGGTCGGAGATCGGAGGATTGAGCCAATTGCGGATGAAACGTCTTTGGAAGGAAGACGGTGGTGAGGGAGCATCCCTTTGAGTTCCGCCTCTTTTCGAGGCGGTGGTGGGGAAGGGGGACATAAGAAATACTGTCTTCTTAAACCAACGGATCATACACCTCCGTGCAAACTGCGGGGAGGGCGGCGGGAAAACGGCAAGACGGCTGTAAGGAAAGGGAAGGAGCCAGGAAGCTGCGCAGGAGGGCGCGCGAGCGCGCCCCTTTTTCAGCAGTGTGGCGGGGTCGCACGCTCGCCCGCCTCGGCGGCTGGGCGCGATTTGCGACAGTGGGGGGAGTGGTGGAGGTGGCGGCGGCAGTGGCAGCTTTGCGGCAAGCTCGGGACGAGCTTGCTTGACGGCGGTGTGGCGGAGGCCCCGCCCGAGGCGGCAGGAACCTGGAGGGAGGCGGAGGAATATGTCCGAGAGGGAAGTGTCCACAGCGCCGGCGGGAACAGACATGCCTGCGGCCAAGAAGCAGAAGCTGAGCAGCGACGAGAACAGCAACCCAGACCTCTCTGGAGACGAGAATGTGAGTACAACCTCTAGCAGTCCCGGGACTCTGGAGTGAAGTTTTAAGTTCTTTTAAAACTGTAGGCGTGGGGGCGGGCGGGCGGCAGTGGGGGAGGGAAAGGTGTCACTCTGTACTCAGGAAAACGCGGGCGTGCGGGAGAAAAACGAATTTGTCCCTGAGGGGATTTTGAGCTGGGGCTAAAAGCAGGCAGAAACTTGGCGCAGGAGAGTGGTTTAGGTGGTTGCGGGGCTTTGAAAGCTCAGTTTTGAGATTTTTTTTTTGCCGATGATGGAGTGTTGGGGCCTTTGGGGGATTTAGGGACGATTGCGGATCTGAGATTCAAGTAATTTAAAAGTCATGTTAGAGATTTTTCCGACAAAATTGGGAGCAGAGGCTGTTTCTGTTTAAGGGTCGTTAAAAGAGGTGAAGGGGCTGTGTCACTCTTCGATCCCTATAGAATCTTAAGGATGGGAAGTACAGCTCTTCGATTTAAGAGTTTGGTGACTTTATTGAAGGGCTCTTGTGTCTACTCCTGTCCTGTCCTGTCTATGAATATAAGGTGTGTCTGGGTGGCTCCTTCTGTAGGAGGAGTGGAATTGAGACGGTCATTTTCTGATCTGGAGTGGGGAGCCACCTTTGATCAAGGAGTGGGAGGGGGTATAGCTCCTTTGAGAGTTTTTAAAATAAAGGAGGTTGACCTGGACAATCTTAGATAGCGGTGGGGAAGACTGATGTGTTTAGGTGAAGGTTAAATGCAGTGTGAGAATTAAATAATGTACAATATAATAGAAAGTGCTTGGAGTAACCTGTCGCATATTAAGTACTATACAAATGTTATTAAAATTATTACGTATTATTGATCACAGTACTTATCACCTTTCCACGTGCTTAATAATCAGGCAGTGTATACTGAAACCTATTTAGAATAAGGAAAAATTCAGGGATCAAAATAAAGTGGAAGTTATTACTATTGCTATTTATAGTATGCTGCTTAACGAATCCTGGGAGTTTTTTCAGGATATTTTAAAACGTACAAATACTGTATATAAGGTTACAAAGTCTATTATAAAATTCTAAAACATTTTAAAGATATTTTTATGGGTATAGTTCAGTGGAGAGATCTTGGGTAGCATATGGGAGGCCTCGTGTTAGAGTTCCAGCACCTCAAAGAAAAAAAAAATTAAAAAATGTACAAATTCATATATTTCTTTAGCATATTAAGGAACAAGATCTAGCAGGGGGTTTGAAAGTAGTAATGGGCTTATTTTTGAAATTCTTCAGCAGTTATACAAGTTGGCATTCTACTTTGAAAATCTAAAATCTGAAACTGTTTTTGTTTTTCTGAGAATGTCTCACTATCTTGCTATGTTGCTCAGACTGACATTGAACAGACTTTGTAGCCCTGGCTGGCCTCAAACTTGAGGGGATCCCCTTGCCTTAGCCTCCTAAATGCTGGGATTACTGGCTTGCACACCACACCCACCTGATTTTGAGTATCATGCTGACATTCAGTGTTCTGGGTTATGCAGCATTTCAGATTTCAGTTTTTTGGATTAAGTGTGTTAAAATGGTATATGCAAATAGCCCTCCCCCCCCCTTTTTTTTGGTACTGGTGATCAAATTCATTTACACCACTGAGCTAAACCCTCCTACCAAATAGTCCAAAATTTTAAAAGCTCCTGAATCTGAACCACTTCTGGTTTCAAGCATTTTGGGTTAAGGATACTCAGTATAAATTCCTGATTTCCATTGACCCAGAAAAATCATAATTATAGTAACATGAGCATGCACGTCACCATCACTATAATAGGAGTGTTAAATTTCAGTTAAAAATGATGAAAATCAACATGCAGCTTTCCCTCCCACTTAATATACTCTTTGAATTCCATCCAAAAACCTAATCTGTCACATAGGTTAAGGAAGAGAGTATAGAAATAGGATAAAAATAAGTTCACACACACAAAAAAATAACAAGGGAATGGTTTTATTATTCAGATATCCGAATAATGATAAAAGGGCATAAGCGGATGGGGGAGGAAAATGCTTCTGATTTGGGTAAGATAACCTGTATATTGTATAACTTGTCATGTTTTCAAACTTTTAAAGATCATATACCTGTAAAGCAGTTGACTTTTAGAAGAATAGTTATGGTTGTGGTTAGTGAGATCAGTAGGTTCACTCTGGAGGCATGTCTTTTGATTTTAAGTTCCTATGACAAGATGAAGGGACAAATTACTATCTCTGAGTCTGTTCCTTGCTGGTCAAGACATGTTGGCCTTACCTGTTGCACAGTATTTTTTATACTTTGAAAAGAAGGTAGGATGGAAGTCATCCTGGACACATATTAGTCATAGAGCAAATACTTAAAGATAAATGAAAGTGGTTTGATGATACTGCATTTCCATTCGATTCTATCTTGATTGGCCTTTGGAAGAAATAGTTAAATTATATGGTCAGAAATAAAATGTGCAATGTGCCCTGCTACTGACAACATTTTATGTGGCCTCCTAATTGTCTGTTCAGTGTTTAGGCTGAACGTAAGAAGCTGGTGTATAAATGTTGGAAGAGTTTATTATTTCATTTCTCTCTACTCTTAGGGGAATTTTTCTGGAAAATAAGAGGTAATCAAATATTACTTAAAATTTTATTTTACTCATCTGAAGGAACTAGGTGTATGTTATAATCAGTTAATCAGAAAAGTCAAAACAGTGTAAATTTGTGTGAAACAAAAAGAATGTAAAGGTGAGTTACAAATGCAGAAAAAACTTTTTTCCACTGAGTGAAAAGGAAGTGTCTTTGAACTTCTGTGGAGACAATGTGTGTGTCTGTCATTCATCTGTAATTTAAGAAGAATTGTATGATACCTTAAAGAAAGTGGACTATAATCTGATAACCAAGTGTGCATAATTTCTTACTGATACATTGAATTGTTTTCTACACTAGATTTTAACTATGTAAATACAATCAATGGTAGGGAGAAACAAATACTGATTTCAACCTAGGAATGCAACTGTGAAATTTTAATGTTACATTTCTGTAAGAATGAATTACAGTTACATTGAATTACAATTGAAATACCTGAGCACTTAATTTGTGCTACTTATTTACTTCATTCCCTTTTCATTTATATTAGATAGTATGTTCCAGAATAGGATATTTTTCACTGTTTCACAAAAACATTTTCATTTTGAAGTCATTTGAAATTTGACAATCCCCAATAACTGATACATAGTCTTAACTGAATTAATATGATTTTCTATACCTTTTGACATTGAATTTTCAACCTTCTGTAATGTGGAACCAGTTTTGGGGCCCTAAAGGCACTGTTTCCAACACTGTGTTCTCACAGATGTTAATGGTCACTTAATGGGGGGGGGGGAGAACTTTCTCTGTAATGAATTTACGAACTAGTGCCCTGGGGTTGTAGATTTAAGTAAGTCTTTTTATTCCAAAGAAGATATTGGAATGCTTAATCAAAGGAGGTAATGAAATTCTCTTCCAAGATTAAAATATCATTCATATGTCTTATTGGACGGAGACAAGAAATAAATTAGAATTTTCAAGGTTTTGTGCAGTCATTTCTGTATTTAGAAGAATTTTACTTTATGAAGAGTATCTAGTAATATAAGAATATTTCTTTAGAACTGTGAGGCATATTTCATTTACAAATAGCAAAGAATTTATAGGACTTTAGAAAATTAAATGATTGATTATAAATAAGCAGAATGTAACAGGACTTTAAAAATCTACATCTAAAGTAGGAAGGATTAATGCTCCTTCCTCAAATGGCCACCCATCCCCATCCTTCTGACTGAGTAGCAGTCAGGTAAACTTCAGAGACATACAGATCAGTAAATTTATTAGTTACAGTTTTGGGGTTGAATCCTAGCAACCCTAACTAGCAAGAGAATTGTTAGGTCTCAACATTTCCTTATCAACAGTGCCTTTTGGGAAGATCTGTTAAGATGAAATGACCCAGTACAATAAGGTAGGTGGCACAGGCCAGTGCCTTCAGTAATATTACCCTTTTATTATCACTCTGATTAGTATTTTGTTTTCATTTTTTTCTGAAATAACAGAGTATCTATAAAAATTCTAACATTTAGCTGTATTAGTTTTTTAATCTATAGATTTTTCTTTTGCACAGCTTTGCATCAGTCAGCATCTTTCCAGTACAAAGTCCTTTGCTGCTAAATACAGTATTGCCTCTTCATGAATTTTTTTCTAATTTACTGCTTACAGGATGATGCTGTCAGTATAGAAAGTGGGACAAACACCGAACGCCCTGATACACCTACAAATACTCCAAATGCACCTGGAAGGAAAAGTTGGGGAAAGGGAAAATGGAAATCAAAGAAGTGCAAATATTCTTTTAAATGTGTAAACAGTCTCAAGGTATATACAGATAGATATTTTTTGGGCTGATTGCTAGGCTTCAGAATTATTTCTCAGTGGCACACATTTTCAAGATACTGCCACATTTTAAATATTTTAAAGTTACAGGTTTTTTTTTTGTTCTTAAACTGCATATTTCTTATAATCTATCTCACATTTGTTTTGGGGGTTGTTTTTTGTTTTAATGTGTAATACTGAGCATTGCAAGCTGGTTTTGCTTTATTGTTTATTGATTCAAATAAAAGATATGGGATAAGTTACTCTTCATGTATTGGAGAAACTTAAAAACATGAGCTGCTTCTGGTACCAGTTATTAAAAAGAACTGAATGTGTGAAGTCATTATAAATTGAAACAGATGTCTTACTTTGTACAGGTTTTTAAAAATTTAACTTTTGTACTTTATTATATTAAAAAAATTGTATGAAATGTTTTAAAATTTTAAATATTCACTATTTGAGGAAAAGAAAGGATTATTTATATTACTGCTTAGTGGCATTTTTATTTCATAAAAAATTGATTTTCTTTCTTTCTTTTTTTTTTTTTTTTTGTTCGAGACAAGATCTTGATGTGCAGGTCAAAATGTCCTTGACCTCGCTATGTAACCCAGGCTGACTTTGATTTACCGGTGATCCTCTTGCTTTAGCCTCCCAAGTGCTGGGGCTACAGGTGTGCGTTGGTACACTATGCTTTAAATTCAGCTGAAGGCAGTATTTTTGCTTTTAAAGTTAAACAACTTTATTTTCTTATCACTTGAAAAGCCACAGTTTTCAGCTTTTGAAAAATTTTTTTTTTTTTTTTTTTTCTTTTTCCTTTTTATCGGTACCGGGGATTGAACTCACGACTGCCTGCTTGCAAGGCAGGCGCTTATGCTGCTGAGCTAAATCCCCAGCCCAGTTTTTGAAATATTTAAATGGCAGTTAAAGCCATTTTCCAGATAGAGCACCTAACACTAATAAATGAATAAAAATACATATTAATGAGACATTTATAAGATTACGGTCTTGCTTATAATAAGACTCCTTTTACAGGATAGAATTTAAACACTGTGCCCTTAATTTTTGCTACTCAGCATGAAAATGGCATGTAGCCATAGCTTCTTATGCTTTTCTAAGGCTTAACTTACCAAGGTATATTAGATATTTAGAAAGGTTTTAACTTACCTAAGTATAAGATAGTGTGTATTTTCCCCAAATTTAGGAAAGTAGAAAATGGACTTACAAAAGAAAACATCTACAATAAACATTGTGAGCTGGGAAAGGTAGCACATGCCAGTAATCTCAGCATTTAGGAGGCTAAGAGGGAAAAATCTCTTAGTTTAAGGCTAGTCTGTGCTACTTCAGCATTTAAGGCCAGCCTGAATTACACAGTGAGACCCTGTGAAGAAAGAAAAAAAGAAAACAAAACAACAAAAACAAGATTAATTGCAATTATTTATAGCAGAAAGAGAAAGCAGTGATTTGAATTGAGTCTAAATGCTTCACTTTACAAGGGAGAAGTTAAGCTTAATGAAAATGAATGTTAAAGAAACTGTATCACCTTTTTAAGGCAGTATGCTTGTTTTCTGTTTCAGAATGTAGTGTCCTAATGGCCCAAGTGATTAAACACATCTACCAAAATAATCCAATTTATTATGATTTAGAATATGGTAGAGTTTAGAAAATGAAAGGCAGTTATCAGTATTTTCATAGGTAAGGAGTTATCTAACCTGTGATTTAAGTCTTTCTTATAAAACTATCAGACATAATATTTTAATTTGTGAAAATGGATCTCATAGATACATTTTAGTTTTACTGTCAAAAGTTTGTGTATTATATAGAAGATAATTGAATTTTAAAGAAAGGTTAAAGTTAGTTTACTGCATTTTTTTGGTTTCTTAAAATACTAAATTTTCTTATTTCATGATTATTTTATAGGAAGATCATAACCAACCATTGTTTGGAGTACAGTTTAACTGGCACAGTAAAGAAGGAGATCCGTTAGTATTTGCAACTGTAGGAAGCAACAGAGTAAGTCATAAGAGGCCTACTTCTCATTTGGCTTAATTGTTGAATATGTTAATGTGATATTTAAATGGAATGATTTTGAATGAAATTTTTTATAGCTGTATGATTCCGATGTATAAAAGAGAGGCTGTAGTTAAAACTGCCGTTTGTGGTTAGAAAATACCTTTTTATTCTCAATTGCTCATCATCTTTCAAATAGGTTAAGTGTGATTTTTTTTAAAAGAAGATAATGCAATTAATGACTATAAATTAAACATAAATTCAGTGGATTTAGCAAATAGTTTTGGGAGTGTTTTAATTATTCACCATAAACATTTGAGTTTGCTTTTTAAGGAACCCAAAATGCTGTCTCTTGATCTAAAAGAAGTAGGCTGAGAGAACTGCTGGACATTTTAACATTAAGCCATTAGTTTTTACTTAAACAAGGAGTGGGTTGCAAAGATTTATTTATTACATCCAGTTCTAAGTAAGTGGAGAAAGAGAAGATTCCCTCATGTTTTCCAGGGAAGGTGAATAGAGTAGAAATACATTAATGTATTCAGAAAAAGAAATAGGAAGGAAATTGATTAATTGGATATGGTTTGTCTACAAATAAAAGTCAATTCCTTCACCCTCAGCTCAAAGAGAAAAAGAGGTGAATCAGAAATGTTCTATTACTTAAGTAAATTAAATTTTATGCTTCTTTTGTAATTGTGCTAAAATTCTTAAAGAAGTTAAAAAAATCATGATTTTTAATATACACCACTGGTTTCCTATATTTGTTGCAGTTTCCTTGTGATTTTGTTCTTCTGTTTCAGTCAAAATTACCTTGGTAATAGGAGTTGTAAGTTCAATATTTTTCATATGTCACATTTTTCTAAGCTATTTTTTTCTTTCCTAATAATTTAAGAATTATAGAAACATGTACTATCTTTTCTGGGCTAAGTCTTTCTTGTATGTGTTTTCTAAAATGTAAAATTTGGCTTTAGGTAATTTTTTCCTGGGTGTTCCTTTAAGGAATTTTAATTGCATTTAAGATGCTAGCGCTTTTACTATTTGACAAAGTTGAAATTCTAAATATTTGAAAGTTAACCACTGGCTTCCTTTCTTTTTTTTCCTTTTTCTTTTAAGAGATGGTCTCACTTAAATTCACTATGCAGCCGGCCTTAAATTCACTACGTAGCCCGTGCTGGCCTCTCCTCCTACCTTAGCCTCCCAAGTACCCAGCCCAACCACTGAAGAAGATAACATTAGATAAGAGCTTTTCTTGGTTTTCAGCCAGTCTGTAGGTTGTGTGATATATAGCCTAGTTTCCAAATTCTTTGAAAATAATAGGAAAAGTGGTGTAGTTTCATGGAAAGATTGAGGTATTTTCTAACTGGCAATGTGGCTGATAATTAAATTTGAATTCACTTTTTAACATTAAACCTAGTGTTACAGTTCTTTACCACCTTGGCCATGATAGTATCAAAATTGGTACAACTTGTTCTTCCATAAGATTATTTCAGTGTTCTAAGCCCTCTAACAAAAATAATCCCAATTATTCAAAATAATGTTGAAGGGTGTTAGGTACTTTGTATTACAAAAAATCTTTTTTTGTTAGGTTTTCCTTTAAAAACAGAAAGAAAACACTTATCTTGTAAGACAGTCTAATTGGCAGCTGTATAAAAAATTTTTTAGAATATTAATGTGGAAGGTATTTTTGAATTTAATATAGATAATATATACATAGTATTCTAATATGGTCTTACTGCATTTTCATATGGTTTTGTTAATGTGACTAAGTTATAGGAAAAATGGAAAGAAATGTAAAAAAATTAGTGTTACAAAATTGTATATATTTTTAATTTTAGAGTATGTAACAAATGAAAAGGCCACTATACATAAAAAGGCAATATTTGATCAGCTGTGTCTAAGAAAAAAGAATTCATTATTAGGCAAATGGTAGACTTTTTTATATGTAACTAATGATTTGCAACTATCCAAAGACTTTTTATTTATATTTGATACATAAGATCATAAAAATATTATATGTCTGATATATAAGATCATAAAAAATTATGGTGTATGTATGGGGTCTGTGCATTTACCCATGCAGTTAGATGGATAAAATATACATTTAAATAACTGGAAGTAGAAACTGTTATTAGTTGAATACTTAATATACTCTAGATATTATATAAAATGTGTTAAGTATTATAATAGCTTCTGTGAATTTGTAAGCTTAAAAGAGCCAAAAGTAATAGGTTCTGTTGTATATTTAAGATATATAGTAATTGTGACTAGAATGTTTAAAAGCCAGAGTGGGTAGCCAAAGTGGGTTTCTATACTTGAGAGGAAATTCACTATATTTTTGTTTTTATTAGGTCACCTTATATGAATGTCATTCACAAGGAGAAATCCGGTTATTGCAATCTTATGTGGATGCTGATGTATCCTTTCTGGGTTTTTAATATCTTTGGTCAAAGATGTTTATTTTCATGGAGTATACCAAACTTTCTGAATTTCCCATAGTTACTGTCCTTCCTGAAGTATAGCTGGCACAGTTCTTCAGTGTCACTACACCCAACATGCCAAGTTTCCTGGTCCTTAGAAATCTGTGGGGTGGATATGGCAATGGGTGCAGGTGGCTGAAAACAAGAGCATTGGGAATCCAGTAATGGAAAATGTTAGTAGAGACAAGTTAAGATGTCTCTTTGACATTGCCTAGAATTTTATAATATGGTTTTAATGATGAACTTGGAACTCAGAAGCTGTGCCTGGCATTCATTCCAAATATTTGATCAATAAAACCTAAATGAAAAAAATGAATGTGATGCAATTTAGTGAATAAAATATTGCAAAATGTGTTTTACAAAGAAAAGGAAAAATCACAAAATGTGAGTTACGAAGGAAAGGAAGAATGTGAAAGTCAGTGTAATAAAAGCTGAGCAATCAAATTGTTTCTTGCATATGATGAAAAATAGACAAAACTAGGTAGGGACATTCAGTCTTCTAGATGGTATGGAAAGGAGTGAACTGTTGCCATATTAGGAAGACCTCATGCAGGAAAAGGAAGAAAATGGAATGGTTATTTTTATTTAGAGGCTGATTTTGTAAATAAAGTTTAATGTAACAATCATGTCCATTTGTTTACACATTGTCTGTGGCTGTTTTTGCACTACTAAATAGTTTTAATAAACACTATTGAAAAAAATTATTTCTTAACTGGCATTTCTTAGGCTGATGAAAACTTTTATACTTGTGCATGGACCTATGATAGCAATACAAGTCATCCTTTGCTGGCTGTAGCTGGATCTAGAGGGATAATAAGAATAATTAATCCCATAACAATGCAGTGTATAAAGGTGGGTTTTCTGATTAAATTGTAGAGTTCTTTTGGATGCATACCTGTGAAAATTTAACCATGTTGAATTTAAAACTAATGAATTAATGATTACAATTTCTCCCATCCATGTACCAACAATGCCTGAACCTGCTTAGCTTCTGAGATCAGATGAGATGGGCTGTGTTCAGGGTGATATGGCTGTAGACTACAATTTCTGATTTGATTCGTACCTCGCATATGCTTTTTAAAAGACAGATCTTTTGAGGCCTTCATGACATTTGGGTAATATATATTTAAATCATTCCCTTTGTTCACTTTGAGAGGCTTTAAATGAACAATAGCAGGTTTTTCCAAGACACCTAAGCTGGTAGTTGTAGATTCAAGGGCAGCTTGTAGTGAACTACATGGTAAAGTGTAGGCTAGGATGTTGATATGGTAACAGGTTTTACAACTCACTTTAATTAGGTCTTTTTCATTCTGGGGGCACATTAAAACCATATGAGGATTTTTAATGCTACTCTAGTCTCCAGTCCAATAATACTGTCTACAAGTTGAATTGAGCACTTTTTCCTTCAGTTTCTTGGGCAGTTTTAATATGCAGCAAAGCTTGAAAGCCACTCATTTAAGTGAAACTTTTTCTGTTCCTTTAATATTGTGAAGGCATTTATTGATTTTTGAGATATGAAACAGAATGTTTAAATTTTATTTACTCGTAGCACTACGTTGGCCATGGAAATGCTATCAATGAATTGAAATTCCACCCTAGAGATCCTAATCTTCTACTATCAGTAAGTAAAGGTAAGAGAAGCAAATGGTTCTTTAGTTGTGTTTTGGGAGGAGTATAATTGTTTTTAAAGCGTCAAATAGTGTTCTAACAGGGAAAAAAACAAATTAGAAAAAATTGTAATAGCATATTTTAATAGAAAATTATGTCTTGCAAACCAACAGTTCAAGAAAGGAACCATGTAATACATATCCAGAGGTTAGTAAAATAACTGGTACTGAGAGCAAAATACACGTTACCCTTCCTATTTACTATGTTAAGAAATTTTAAAGATAGTTTTTTACAAATCATTTTAGTAGTTACCACAGCTCTGCCAATCATGTAATAAGTAGTGCATCCTTATTGGTTTTCTGTTTTTTAAGTCATTTTTAAAACAGTGTTAATTTTCACATTTTTTTTTCCTTTTTGAGACAGGGTTTCACTGTGCAGTTCAGGCTGGCCTTGAATCCACTTTGTAGCTTGGGCTGGCCTTGGTTTTAGAGTGATCTTTTTGCTTAAGCCTTCTTACTGCTGGGATTACGGGTGTATGCCACCACACCCAGCCTAAGCTTTCATATGTAAAAAATTCACTGTAGAATTCTTTAAAATACTGTTTCCCAGCACAAACTCTTTGAAATATTTCCCATAAAGAGAAAGCATTGCATTGCTTTGTGCCTATATTGCCATTTTTCATTCTGGGTTTAGACACATCTCTTAATTATTCTTAATCATTTCTGAGCTTTCTGAAATGTTATGCACTTCTTGTTTCTGTATTGTGTTCTTGTTTGCCTTTTCTACTGTTTTGTTCTAGTCTTTTCTCAGTCTTGTCAAATTATAATCTCCTACAAACTAACTTAGATCAAATTTAGACACTTAGACTGTACTTAGCTCAGTGGTAAAACACTTGCGTAGTATATGCAAAGCCTTGGGTTTGACCCTTACCACAAAAATAACAAATTCTACTATGTGAGAATGTTTCAGTGCCTGCATTTGGAAATCACTGCCTTTAGAAACAGTTGATTACTTTTCTTTGTCTCTTGATAATATTAGTTGGGCTTAGATATTCCTGTATAAGTGAGTAGGCCAAAATGTCTTTTTTTTTTTTTTTTTTTGTCTTTTTCATTTTTATTGGTACCAGGGATTGAACTCACGACTGCCTGCTCGCGAGGCAGGCGCTTATGCCGCTGAGCTAAATCCCCAGCCCCGGCCAAAATGTCTTAATTCATTACCTTTAACCATGATCTTACTGTGTTAGCATGGAGATTTAAAGACAAACAGCTTTCTCAAAATAAATAAGAATTTTGCTGTAAATCAGAAAAGTAGAAAGACAAATGTATTAACTTTTCATCACAGTGACAAAACACCAGAAAAATAAAGGAGATTTATTTTGGTTTTGGAGGTTTTAGTCCATGATCACCTGGCTCTATTGCTTTGGGACTAAAGCAGGACAGAAAATCATGATGGTACCAGCTTGCAGCTGAGGAGGTTGTTCACATGGCAGATAGAAAGCATAGCAGATGAAGAGACTTAGGATGAAATACAGTCTTCAAGATCATGCTGCCAAAGAAACATTGTTACAAACTAGGTTCCACGTAAATTTTTGTTAACTCCAATAACCCATCAAATTATGAATCCATCAGTGGATTAATCTATTAGGAGGTCAGCACCTTAATGATCTAACCATTTTCCCAGAGCCTTCTCTTTGATCATTACTGCATTGGAGACCAAGCCCCACACATGACTCTTTTGGGGGACATTCCAGATTCAAACTACAGTGATCATCCATAGATAGGAAAAAGTATTTATAAATCATAACAAGGGATTTACATCAAGAATTCTGAGAGCTGAACAACAAAAAGAAAACCAGTGGAAAAGTGAGCAAAAGTTCTGAGTCCTCATAACCCTGAAGAACCCATCTACATGGCAGTGAGCACACTGTTCAAAATCATTATTTAGCAAATTCAGGTCAGAACCACCAGAGACCACTCCACACCTACTCAGAATGGCTATAAAAGGGGCAGACAACTGTGTTAAGTAGGATGTGGAGAAATTGGAACTTTCTCAAACATTGCTAGTAGGAATGTAAAATGTAATTACTTTGAAAAAACAGTGTGGCACATCTTCAAAATGTTTAAACATAGCATTAGTTACTAATTCTTGGAGGGTTGTGTGAGTCATTTTTAAAACAATGTTAATTTTCACTGTCCACACAGTGTATTCTTACCTCTTGGTATTATTTATATAGTATTTTAATATTCATACAGTGTGGACATTGTTATATTTTAAGTTGTACTTATTTCTTTTGCTGTACATTGTTAGTATATTTTATGAAAAACTGGTGCTGGGGGTATAACTCAGTGATAGTAGAGCAGATACCTGGTTTTGAATCCCCATGCCCTTAAATGAAAAGAAAAAAAGGATTGTTCAGATTACAGGGAAACACACACACACACTCACACACACACACACACACACACACACACACACACACACACACACAGGACTTTGTGCTGTGCTACAGAGTTATATTCCAGCAGAGGACTATTATAGTATAAAATTGTATCACAGTATAGGCACATAAGTACTTTTTGTTCTACATACGATACAAATATTTTAAGTGGCTGTCTAATGTGGATTTCATTCTTAGTCTTTACTGTGCATAACTTACATCTAAACTTTCATTGTTATTTAAGGAAGTACTGAAAGTTTACAGAAAAGTGAATGTCACAAGTTCATGTTAATCTTTTTGTATGTTTATGCTAGATCATGCCTTACGATTATGGAATATCCAAACGGACACTCTGGTGGCAATATTTGGAGGTGTAGAAGGGCACAGAGATGAAGTTCTAAGTGCTGTAAGTTATAGGACAGTGACCTTCAGGTTTACATATATGTAAAAATTCCTGTGAAACTCTTTCCTGAATAGAAAACATGTTTGTTTTATATAGCCTACCAGGTAGTAATATCATTTATGTTTGACACAAGATTTTGTTCTTACAGGTGAAGAAATGGAGCAAGGAAAGACTTTTGCTTTTTATTCTTTTAAGAATTAGGGGCTTGAGATACATAGCTCAGAGGCACAAGTGCCTGTCTGGCAAAAGCAAAGTTCTGAGTTTGATTCCTGGTGCAAAAAAACAAACAAAAAAAATTACTTAGAGCCAGGCATGGTGGTGCATGCCTATAATCTCAGCACTTGGGAGGCTGAGCCAGGAAGATGTCTGAAAGTTCAAGAGCAGTCTGAGCTGTGTAGTGAGACCCTGTCTGTAAAAGCCAAAAAAAGTATTACTTATATTTTATCTATCTCAGTACGTGGATTCTCACAGAAGAATACTATGAACTTACTCCTTTCCTTGAATCTAAAATCACCAACTTTTTTTCCCTTGTATCTCAGAAAAGGAAAAAAAGTTAACACTAATTAGCCATTAAGGGACATTTTCATTTTTTCCTTTGAAGTCAGTATAAATTACCTACTCTTGATTGTATTTTATTGTGCTCACATTGAATTTTATATAATCTTTTCAAAGTTTTCTTTGGCATAGTATTGTACAATATGCAATAGCTGATTATTTTTAAAGATAAGCAAATATTATCTTTATGTTAATATATGGCTCATTGTGTTTTTAGTCAAGTTTTAGCTTTTTATAGTATTTTATTTTTATTAAAATGTGCTCATTGATTTTAGTAATTATATACAGTACATCCTTTACTTTTTACTATTAAATTATTTAAAGGGACATCATAGTTTGAGACCATAGCATTTTAATTGAAAGTGCTAAAATAATGCTACAGTTGAAATTTATATGCCTTTTTGAGAAAGGTAGCTATGCTGAAATACTCATCAGCCTGAATTTTCTACAGTGGCAGTAGTGTTCTGCATCTGGCATTATGTGCATGAAAGCCAAGTGTACTGTCTTTTATTAAGAATTCTTAATTAGAGTCTGTAACTCTAAGGGTGTGTTGTCATTAACAGTGAGGTAATCAGAAGTAGCAGCAACTAGACTTGTGAACTTAGTAAATAACTGGCCTTGATTTCTTGTAAACCTATCAAGTATTAGATCAATGCAGAATATCTAGGTTAGTATAGGAAATGCTCTCCTTCAATAAACTTTTTACTGTTAGTAAAATGAAAGTGGAGGGCTTGGTGTGGGTATGGTAGTTCACAGCTATAATTCCAGTACTAGGGAGTTGAGGCAGGAGGATCGCTGCAAGTTTGAGGCCAGCCTGAGCTACAAAGTGAGTTCAGGGCCAGCCTGAACTACATAGTGAAACCCTGTCTGGAAAAGACAAAAAAAAAAAAAAAAAAAAAAAACCACCCAAAAGACAACAGCAACAAAAAAACAAAAACCAGGAGATACAGTGTATACACACACACAAACACAATTTAATATAGGATTTCACTACTAGAAGAATTGATGTGTGAGATTTTCATTAATCCATCGTGTGTCTTTTGCTAAATTAAATAGTAATTCTGAGCCTTGGTGTCTATGAAATAAGGTTTTTTATAATAGATTATCTGTTAGGTACCCATTAAAATTCAGTAAAAAAAGCAAATTAAAAAAATTGTTACTTTTTAGAACTCATTTAAAAAGTAACTCAAAAACTAACAACTGTTTTGAATTACAGTATAAGATAAAGTAAAATTCGAGCTGTTTGAGAACTGATAGTTTCAGATGCAGATGTTAATTTTACCTCTTTATTATTTTACAAGTAATGTAATTGTTCAGCTTTTCGTTAGAATAATTATTTTTACAAGTAGTGTAACTGTTCAGCTTTTTGTTAGAATAATTATTTTACCTCAGCATTTAATTTACTTTAGATATTAAGTAAAATAAATATTTAAATATAACTGAGTAGGTAAAACTAAATTCAAATAACTTCCAAGAGGGCAAGAAAGCATTCCGTATTAGGAAATTTCATGTTTTCTGGGATTGACAACCTAATTAAAACTTCAAGTCTTGAAACTCGTAAAGTTTGTGTGTTACGGGCTACATACATGAAACCCAAAATGTTACGGTATTCACTGTATTTTATATCTAGTGAAGATTTAGTAATTTCAGACTGTAATTTATGTACTTTAAACTTTTCTGTTTTACATACAGGATTATGATCTTTTGGGTGAAAAAATAATGTCCTGTGGTATGGATCACTCTCTTAAGCTTTGGAGGATCAATTCAAAGAGAATGATGAATGCAATTAAAGAGTCTTATGATTATAACCCAAATAAAACTAACAGGTAACAGTTAATATGCTTTGCTGTACTGTTGAATAGATATGTTGTTATATAAATCCTTAACACTGAGTCTAAAAACCCTTTAAAAAGACACCTCAATTTTTAAAACTTTTTTATTTTTTTGGTGGTTTTGAGGATTGAATCCTGTAATCCTGGTACTCTAGAAGGCTGAACCAGAAGGATTTTCAAGTTTGAGTGAAGCCTGGGCAACTTACTAAGACCTTGTCTCAAAAACTTAAAAAACACACATGGGCTGGGGATGTAGTTCAGTGCCTCAATTCTTAATGCTGTGACTGTGTTATCTTACAGGATGTCATAAACACTTTTACTGTAAGCATTATCGGTCTACATTTAACTCTCTGTTTGTCTTAGGACATAGTTAAAGAGTTTATTTTCTGGTTTTCTTTTTCCTCTCTGCCCCCCCCCCTTTTTTTTAATTGAGACAGGATCTTACTATGTAACCCAGGCTGGCCTTGAACTCATGGCAGTCCCCTCACCTTTGCAAGTATTTTCTGGTTTTCAACACAGATTACTTAATAGATTGTTGGTAAAATTTGTCAGCTTCAGTAAACATGAGTGTATTCATCAGACATCAGTGACTTTCAAGAATTAGTAGAACTTGCAGATTTCAACTTTTAAACACCAGTGGCTACTACAGTGTTAAATTTATATTTTTAAAACACTATTTAGATTTCTAGAGTAAACACAAGTTATATATTTCACAGTTACAGAAAAATAACACTTGAGTTAAGCAGGTCTAAGACCTTGAGAGAGATTTAACCATAAGGTTATCATATTATTGACATTTTAATAAAGACAAGATCCCAGAATTTGAATTGGAAGGATTGTTGGAGATGATGTAGCTCAATATGCTTTTTATACAAAAAATAGGACATGTGAATTGCTTAAGATAATTTATTGATATACTGCACATCTGTGGTTATTTCAGTATAAAACCTGAATCATAGGGAGGAAGAGGATGTAGCTCAGTTACAGAGCATATATATGCTTAGCATTCAAGAGGTTTTGAGTTTGATTCCTCGCATCAAAAAAAAAAAAAAATCCAGAATTGTCTGCTAGATTAGAAATCTTACTGTATTCATTAAGCCCAGAATTAGAAGCAACTTATCTTGTTTATTGTCATTTCACAAATATCTGTAAGGAAAAAATGGAGCCGCATTTTTGTTTCCTAAGGGTAGGAAACTTTTCCTGAGGAAAAGTCTTTGTCAAATTCCTGCATCTTTTACAGAAATTACTGCTCAAGGTAGGACTCTGATCTAAACTTAATTTATCGCAGACTTTGGAATATTCATTGTTCCTATAAAGATGACTGTCCTGAAATATTTGAGATTAGTTGATTTTAATAGACAGCTAGTACTTAACTTTTAAGGGTTAAATGTAGTTTAGTATATGAGGTATTTTTATCTCTACAATCAAGATTTCTTTTTCATTGGTTAGGATTAATTTAAGGTTATATATAGTCAAAAGCAGGTAGAAGTTCTATAAATTGGATTGGGGATACAGCTCGGTGGTAGAACACTTGACTAGCATGTGAGGCCCTGGGTTTAAGTCCCCAATCCTGAACTAAAAAGTTTTATAAAAAGCTTCATAAATCCCTCTCCCAAAATAGTGGGATTCTACTATTTTTTTTAAACTTTATTTCCATTCTTCCTTCAGGCCATTTATTTCCCAGAAAATCCATTTTCCCGACTTTTCTACCAGAGACATACATAGGAATTATGTTGATTGTGTGCGATGGTTAGGCGATTTGATACTTTCGAAGGTATGGAAAACTGAATTTAAGCTGTATTTCCTATGTGTGTATTTGCATGTATTTAGATGTCTGCTCATGTTTGTTGTAATTTTGCAGGGAGCAAGGGTTTACTTGTAAAAATGAAGAGCAGATAGGAAATAGCCTTTTAAAAAAGTCTTATATTTTAGTAGGATTGAAAATTTACTTTAGGCATAAAACATACCAATAAATTACATTTCCTCATGCTCTAGAAAAAAGAGAACTGTAGCTTAGAAGATGATAACCATCCTCTGATATTTGATGTTGCAAAGTAACAACTAAAGTCAACAGATTTTTTGGGTATGTTTGTGTCTATTTCAATAAAATTTTGTTTACAAGAATAGGTGACTAGAGTCAGTTGGCTTATAGGTTGTTATTTGCCCCCTCCCCCGCTCTACTCATCTATTTTGATGAGTATAGATACAGTCAGCTTTCCATATCTGTAGGTTCCACATCCTTGGATTTAAGCAACGAGTAATCAAAAATATATATTTTTTAAAAATTGTAGTTGTACTGTATTGTACTGTATTTTGTTACTCTTAACCAGTGCAGTATAGCACCTATTTACGTAGTATTTACATAGAATTAGGTGTCATAAGTAATTAAAGATGATGTAGAGTATATAGGAGGATGTGTATAGATATATGTAAATACCATGCTATTTTATAGGAGGGACTTGAGCATTTGTGAATTTTGGTATGGGGAACTCGTTCTTCCAACCAATTCTTTTCAGATGTTCTGGGTGACCGTGTGTGTGTATAATTTTTTTAAGCTAGTAATTTAGAGCAATTGGTGATGTTATCTGAACATTAAGGGTTGTCAAATATGGAGAAATTACTATCTGGTTTCTTTACTTAACATGAATTTCAGGACACTTCATTGTTTCCTTGGGCAGAACCTAATTTTATTATTTTTTTCTTTTTCTTTTCCTTATGGTTATATTTTTACCATTGTTGTTTTTTGTTTTGTTTTCTTAAGACAATTAGACTTACAGAAAGTGTTGGAGATAGTGCAGAGAGGTTCAATAGGACTTTCACCCAGTTTGCCTTGGAGAATTGTGTCTTACGTAATTATCAAATCTAGGAAATTGACATTGGTATAAGATGTATGTGTATATGAATTTTGTCATTTCAAAAATGTTATCATTTGGGATCTTGTTAAGGTTTTTTTCACTCAATATAATGCTTTGGAGGTCTTTCCAACTTGCTTATATCAGTAGTTATTTTTTAATTGCTAAGTAACATTCAATACATGGCTGTACAAATACAGTATATTTAGTCATTATTACAGATCATTTTGGTTGTATCAAGTTTTGGACTGTTACAAAAAAACTACTAATGAGTAGTTATATACATGTAGGATTTTTGCATGGCCTTATTCTCATTTTTCTGGGATAAGTGCCTAAGCTGAATAATCGCTGGTTACGTAATGGTTAAGTTTGTTTAGTTTAAGAAACCACCAAACTTATTTTCCAGAGTGACCATGCCATTTTACATTTTCATCAGCAATGTATGAGAGATACAGTGTCATAGAATCTTCACTGGCATTTGGTACTGTCATTTTTTATTTTAGTTGTTCTGATAGGTATATGATGATATTTCATCATTGTCTTAATTTGCATTCCCTGATGGCTAGTAATTGTTGAACATCTTTTTCATGTGATTTGCTTACCATCCATCTTTTCTTTTTGGTGATGTCCTTCATGTCTGTGGCTCATTTTCAAATTGGGTTGATTTTATTTTGCTTTTGCTGTTCAGTTTTGAGAATTCTTAATATTCTAATATGAATTCTGTGTCAGTTATGTACTTTGCACATATTTTCTTCCAGTGTATGGCTTGTCTTTTTATTCTTCTAGGAGGGAGTGTCATAGAGAAAGTGTGTTTAATCTTTGTGAAATTGTTTATTCATTTTATAAAATTTACTTTACCAGTAGTGCTTTTGATGTTATGCCTGAGAACTGTTCAATAAGACTTAGATGTGATTTTTTTCCTGTGTTTTCTTGTAAAAATTTATACTACATTTTACATTAAAAGTATGACCCATTTTAAGTTAATTTCTATATAAGACATAAAGTTTAGGTTAAAGGTTCCCCCTGTATCTGTCCAGTTCCTTCAGCATAATTTTTTGAACAGTCATGTTTCCTTCATTCAACTGCTTTTGTACCTTTGTCAAAAGTTCTTTGTGTGAGGCTGTTTCTGGTTTTTCTGTTTTCCATTAATTCGTGTATCTGTCTACCTTCAGTCTTAGAACTGTATAAATTGATTGATTTATACCACTTTATTCTTCTGTTCCAAAATTGTTTTCAACTAATTTAGTTCCTTTACCTTTCCATAATAAGTTGCAGAAGAACTTACATTATAAAGAATCCAGCTGGGATGTTTTTGAGGGAAGGCAGATTTTGATTAGAATTTTGTCTCACCTATATGTAATTTTGAGGAGAATTAATATCTTCACACTGAGTCTTCTAATCCACAGACATGGTATGTCTCTCCGAATATTTAGATTTTTTTAAAATTTTATTTAAGGAGAAAAAAGGATAACAAAAAGGGTACAAGTTATACAGAATTTCAGAAAAAAATAAACAGTAGGAAATCACTACTTAATTACATATTGTCATCTTAGAAATAGTTGTTCAAGTTATAAAATTAAAGCATATAGAGGGGACTTTCAAACAGTGAGACTGCAAACAGATTTGTTCAATGATCCAACAAAACTCAGTAATATGGTTATCTATCTTATACACTTAAATATATATGCAGTTATATCCTTTAGAGCACTTTCTTTTCCTTTCTTTTGTACAATGACAATTACACATTTTGGGTTTTATTACTCCCACAGTTCTTATTACTTTTTTTTTTTTTTGAAGAAAGTAAAACCAAATTTGACAAAACAGGACAGAGTCAGTCAAATCAAAAGGATGGACTTAATACAAAATACAAGGTGATCAACAATGGTTACCATAATGTCTCGTTATCTTAAAAAGAATTGCCTATATCATCAGTTATAATAAAATTGAACAAAACAGTAAAGAATAAGACCAATAAAACCAAAACATTGGAGACATTAGAGGACTTCAAAAGAAGGTAACAGTCAACCAGAATGGGCGTCATAATTATTGTCTTCATAGTTGTTGGCTATACTTTCGAACTCCGTACTATCAAGCATAGCAGAATAGAGGAAAATCAGTCAAAACAAGATGTGAGAGTAATACAGGGTTTCAAATCAAGTTAATAGGAAATCAAAGTGGGTTACTATAATATATCCTGCTATTTTTAATTTATTTTTCCCTTAATTAAAAGGATAAAAACGAAAAAGTAGATAATAAAAAGGAGATTAAAATAAAAAAGAGGGCATAACAACAAAACAGCGCAGGTCAAAACATAGCCATTTAAGCAAAATAGTGTTTCGTCACAAGATAATCTCGACATAAAAGTAGTTACCATAGTGTCTCTTCCCTTAAAATCTTTGGGTATAACTTCGTATACTGTAGCATCAAACATATCAAGACAGTGTGAAACCATTCAAGAGAATGACAGTATTTATAGGGTATTTAGAATCAACAGAAAATGAACAATGGTTTCTGTATAATCTCCTTGTCTATAAAAGTTTTTGTTTATATTATCACATATAAAATCCAATAAGATACAACACGTTAAAACCGATGGAGACAGAAGAACCGATAAAAACGAAAAAGAAAAAAAAAAAAAAAAGAGGATATTAAATCAGCACTACCTATTATGATGTCTTGTTTTCTCCAAAATGGCTGTTCCTACCATCCAGTCTTCTCTGCCTCATTTCTGTTGAGCTCTTTTTCTGTCATTTGTTGTCAGTTTGTCTTCTTCATTTCGCTTTCTGCTCCATTCATTGTGGCCTCTCTGCCACTGTTTCTGGAATTTTGGTATTTTTCATTTTTAGAATATCCTGCAGTAATCTCTGTAGAGGTGAATTGGTGGTTGCAAATTCCCCTAGTTACTCTTTATCCTGGAAGCACCTTGTTTTTCCATCGATTTCTAGGGATAGTTGTGCAGGATATATCAATCTTGGCTGGAGGTTATTATCTTTCAAAGCTTGAATTATTTCCCCCCACGCTCTTCGTGATTTGATGGTTTGTGCCGAGAAGTCTGCTGTAATTTGATGGGTGTTCCCTTGTAAGTGATCTGTTTCGTGTCTCTGACGGCTTTTATTTTTATTTATTTTTTTTTGTCTTTTTCCTTTTTATCGGTACCGGGGATCGAACTCACGACTGCCTGCTTTCAAGGCAGGCGCTTATGCCGCTGAGCTAAACCCCCAGCCCCTCTGATGGCTTTTAATATTCTGTTCTCATATTGGATATCTGGAATTTTGATTATTATATGCCTGGGTGTAGCTCTGTTTGGGTTGTAGGTGGCTGGGGTCCTGTATGCCTCATACATCTGTTGTATCTTTACCTTTTGCTAAATTAGGGAAATTCTGGATTATTTCTGTGAATAGCTTTTGTAGTTCATTTGTTTGAGTCCCTACTTCTTCTTTTATGTTCTTAAGTTATAGATCCTCTTATCATCTTCTAGCCTTTGTATTATTGCTGTTTGTTTTCTTGTTATTTTTAAGAAGTTTTTCATTTCATGCTCCCACCTTACAAATCTGTCCTCCAGTTCTGATAATCTATCCTTAGTTTCTTTCAAGCTGTTAAGCCAGCTTTCAATAGTTTTTAGTTTCCTGGTAATCTCTTTGAACCTGCTTCACGTACTCTATGATTTCTCTATTTTCTCCATCAAACGATTCTCCCTTTTTTTTGGTTCTTCCATTCTACCATCTGTTTTTCTTGGGTGGTGCTTAGCATTTCTCTAACTATTCTACTTATTTGTTGCTTTATTTAATTAAATACTTCATTTTTTAACTCGTCTATGAGGCTCCAGAGATACCGCTTTATGTCTATTGGTGCCGTGTCTGATATTGCATGTTTTCTGTCTTCATTCTCTTTTGCATTTACCTTTCCTGCATCGGTGTTCTCA